ACAAAAAATTATTGTAATATAACTTAAAATGCAGATAAAAGTTTAGAACTTTTCCATTTCTTCTTCACCATTTCTCTTATGTCTGCTCTCTTTACAGTTGGAGTTGTATAACAGTTTCCCCCCCACTGCACACTCCTGCACCACTCATTGTCCCTCCACAATCCTCCAAAAACATTACCTGCTTCACCACACTCATTACTCCACCATGCTCAGTGCTCCACCACACACACTACATTACTACACACTTTCGCTACTACACACTATGAGCTATGAAGAAAGAGTGCAAGAACAATTTTGCCACTGAAGGAACAGAGAAAAGGTAGAGATGTGATGACATACAAAATACTCAGTTTAAATACAGGAAGTGCTCATCATATCTTTGAGTGCATGTAGCCAGACAAGGATAGAAAGGTCAGGCTGCTGAACTGATTATTCAGTAAGCACCTCCATTGAGGTGCTACTATCTCTTTATTACTGTGTACTGGAAACATGTTTTTGTGCTTGAGCAGGGTTGCTGGCATTTTTTTTTTTTCCTCATGAACATGTGGGATGGCAGGTAAATTTTGAAAACTTTTACTACTTTCATTCATTAAACTCTTTACTTTTCTCTGTATTTTGATAGTATGCATTCCTATAATATTTTTTTTCCCCAATTTGAGGCTTGGTGTGAGTCGGGCAGTGTGGTGATCAGTTGCTTATACAGCTGTAGACTTTGTTAAGCATGATAAAATTTTAGTTCAGTACACTCAGATTCAACAATGATTATCAAAAATTGTAATAGAGTTAATTTCCAGCCCTAATCTCTGATTTAAACATTATTGTATTTTCTAGGTTATGACAGGTGCTGAAAATGGCAGAATGCGAAGTTCCAGACAAACTGAGCATGATATCCTATCTCTCTCAAATCTATGATGTCTTCCGTGGAGAAATTCCCCACTTCAAATATCCAAAGATGGTAATATTTTTTAATACAGGCTTAATGTTTACAGTGGTACATTGACTTAAGAGTGCCCCAACTTATGAGTTTTTCCGAGTTACGAGCCGTCGCTCAGTCGATTTTTTGCTTTGAGTTGCGAGCCAAAATTCGAGTTACAAGCGAGCTTCAGATACGCTGCCACTAGTTGGTGCAGCGAATGCTATAACATTGCCATTTTTGTACAATAGTTGTGTAAGGGAAAGATGACTGGTGCCATATTTAGTTGTATGAACAGGTCCCTCCTGTACATTTGAGCCGGATTTGTGTAACTCGTTTAGCACATTCTGTCACCCATGGTACTGTATTTATCCCAGTTTTAAACTCATGATGCGATTAGCAGTGGACTGGATAAGTGGTACTACAGGTCCCCTTTTGTGTGGACAGACCTGCAATGCAGTGGACTGCATTAATGGTACTACAGGCCCCTGTTGTATGGACAAATCTGCGATGCAACAGGCTTGGTTCTCTGAATCACTGGTTCAGCTGCATAGCCCCTATACAGTGGACTAACTGATCCTTGATCTTGCCAAAAATTTTGTCCCTTGTTTCTGAAATCCATTGAATAGGAGTGTGTTATGCTGAGGTAATACTGGTACTTGTTTTTATTATGATTTTTTTTTTTTTTTTTTTTTTTTTTTTTTTTTTTTTTTTTTTTTTAACAAGTCGGCCGTCTCCCACCAAGGCAGGGTGGGAGACGGCCCCAAAAGAAAATACTTTCATCATCATTCAACTCTTTCACCTCACTCACACATAATCACTGCTTTTGCAGAGGTGCCCAGAATACAACATTTTTAGAAGTATATACGTATAAAGATACACAATACATATACCCCTCCAAACTGCCAATATCCCAAACCTCTCCGTCTTTTATCAGTCTTTAATTCATGTTTAGCATGTCCATGTGTTGCTTTTATCTCTTAATTGTAAGTTATAAAATTGATAAAGACTTGGCATAATATAATATGTGAATTTTGGTTGTGATAGTCATACTAATAAGAAATTTTGTCTTAGGATGATGGCGAGATGGAGGTGGAGCAGCAATTTTCTCCCACGCAACGCTCTACTCCCCATGTCAACATTCTCAAGAACCTCACTAATAAAACTGCTAGCACTTCTCAGGGTACACCATCTTCCAGAAAGAGAATGTCGTTAGATCGAGGAATAGGAAAAAGGTTAGTCAAATGATTGTCTTGTGCATTCGGCTCAGTTTGTTTAGGGAGGTTTGTAAGAATCTTCTCTTTTTTTTCTGTACTAGTAACTGAAAGTTAGCTAATGGAATTTTTTTTCACCAAGTTGGCCATCTCCCACTGAGGCAGGGTGACCCAAAAAGAAAGAAAAAATCCCCAAAAGAAAATACTTTCATCATTATTCAACACTTTCACCTCACTCATACATAATCACTGTCTTTACAGAGGTGCTCAGATATAACAGTTTAGAAGTCCCTCCAAACTGTCAATATCCCAGACCCTTCCTTTAACCCTTTCAGGGTCCAAAGCCAAAATCGGAAGGGGTGCCCCAGTGTCCAAGAAATTTTGAAAAAAAAAAAAATATATATATATTTTTGTCTTACAGAATAAGAGAGTATATTTTTGTGAAGGTAATAAAACAAAAAAAAATTTTCTGATCAGTACTTACAGAGATACAGTGGTGAGAAGTTGACCCAAAATGACCGGGTGGCAGCAACATCGACGATTTCCACAGCCGTGCATTTCTTTATTTTACGTTTTTTATATATATTTTTTTCTTTTCTTTTCTAATTTTTTTTCTTTTCCTACTAACATTTGGGGCCTAGAGAAACAATACTGTATATATATAAACTCACTGTATTGAACACAATAACCACACTAAAGTTATTATCATAATATTGTTTACCACTTTTGTTTATTACAATAAACATGCACAAATCTTGTATATTACTGATGTTCTATCATATATTTACATATGTACAATCACTGGACATGTTTTTAGAACTGCTGCAGCTTGTGGAACTCCTTGAAACAAGGCACCATGCACAGAGGTACCTTACATTCCTCGCACATAAACCAAGTGTCTCTGCGTCTTTGTTGCCGTTGTTTTGTTTGTGCACAGACAACACATCTCTTCTGAGCAAATTTCTTCTTAGTTGCAGGAAGCTGTATTATGAAGTGATCACCTTCCCTCCTCAAACGCTTGGGTATATCCTGAGGAGTTCGAGGACGGTTTGTATAGCAGGTGTTGTTTACCTGGTATTTCATTGTGAGTTGTCTGACAACAGACAAACAAAATTTAACCATACAGTGGTCTGTTGCCAGTCTTCACTTGGTACATATTATATGCATTGAGCACTGAAATGTCCATGAGATGGAAGAAAAGTTTCATATACCACTTGTAACTCTTACAAACACAATCAACAAAGCCAATCTGCATATCACATTTGTCAACCAAGCGCATGTTTTGTGTATAATCAATCACTGTCACTGGTTTTCGAATATGTCCATTAGTCATTCTATCAACTTTGCCACTGTCTTCATTTCGTTACGGTGAATTGTTGTCAACAATGTGACATCTCGTTTGTCATGCCACCGTAATGCCATGTCATTGGCAGTAAATGCCTGCACCTCTTCACCATAAGTGCCTGCGTTGAACCTGGGCATATGTTTATGATTAGAACGCACTGTGCCACACACACAAACTGTCTTGTTCACTCGCAAGAAATCACTGAGTAAAGGGCTTGTGTACCAGTTATTGGGTTTTAAAAATGTATGCCCCTTACCAAGATAAGGTGCCATCATGCTTCTCACTACGTCGCCTGAGATACCCAATAACATCCTGGTATCTTTCAATGTTTTACTTCCCATGTATACAATAATATCCAATACCAGGCCACTGTCACAGTCACAGAGTACAAACAGTTTTTATAACCAAAAAGTTTCCTCTTGCTCGGGATATACTGTTTGAATTACAATCTACCTTTGAACAAAATCAAAGACTCGTCAAGTACAAGATTCTTGAATGGATAAAAGTACATGTTGAACTTTTGTTTGAGATACATAAAAACATTTCTAATCTTGTATAACCTGTCAGTTCTGTCAGGCCTGGTTTTGTCAGAGAAGTGCAACATACGTAACAGTAAGATAAACCTGTTCACTGGGATGATTTCGCTGAAGACCAGGGTACAAATTAGCCGATCTGTGTACCAGTATGATTTTATATTATGCTTATAGACATGAGGCATAAGCATTATTGTTGCAAAAAGCAAATACATTTCTGCAACAGTTGTCTCTTTCCACCGGTGTAGTCTTGACTGTGGTGATATCATCGTATTTGCCATTGTGTACTCAAAATACTTTCCCTGACAATAGTTTCCATCAAGGGTTGGTCAAAGAATAATTCAAAGAATTCCAGTTCATTGGCAGTGGTTCCAAGGGGACAAGTAGGTAGAATTCCACTTGGAGAGTCATCAAACTGGTGGGGCTTGGGAACAAAATTGGGATTTTGCTGCCAATCCCACATACGGTTTGCTGGTGGATACTGGACATCATGGGCTGATTGTGCTGGTAGTTGTGGTTGTGGTGGGCTGGTGGCTGACGCTCCGCTTTGTCCTTGAACTGAGGAGTCAGCAGCATGGGTCCCCAGCCTGGGCTGGTGAGTCATGCATGGCCGTGGCACTACCATCACCACTACCACCATCACCACACCTACTGTTGCCTGTGGTCTATCCATGCCAAGTGTAGCCACATCATCCTCACTTTCACTGTCTATTCCTCGTGTGGGGTCACGGGATGTACTTCAGCCCCTGGACACTGCATAGGGAACACTACCCGAGCGCATGCTGCGGCGTATATACCAACGCTTCACTGATGAATATGCTTCCTCACTGTCACTACTCGAATAATCATCAAGAGCAATAAAATCACAATCCATGTCACTATCATCATCATTACTGAAGTCAGAGGCCTGGTCACACAAAAATAATAGTTTTCTCTTGCGTTGAGGTACAACTGACCGTGACTGAGGAGTGCCCACACCAGAGGTAGAAGGTCGAGTATTGTCAGGGTTTTCTGCACATTTATCGATATCCTGGTCATTCCTTTCGGTCACTAACTGATCAAAGCCAAAGAATTCGTCTTCATTTCCACTTCCATCAGAGTCAGAACTATCAGACAGGAAGAGGAGAGTCCCAATTTCCTTGGAGTGAGAGCTGCCTTGCGACAAGGCATGGTGAACAAGGGTAACTGAGCCGGCGTTCCCACAAAGCTATGCGGGTGCCTAGAATTTTTGTTTACGGCGCGCACACAACCACGCAGACCCGTTCTCTCACATGTAGGCCTACCAGCCTTTTCGCGCTAAATTTGACACCGCTAGAATTTTGGCGTAGATCTTCGGTTTGCACCTGAACGTAAAGCCGTAGATCTACGGCACGGACCCTGAAAGGGTTAAAGTGCAGGCATTGTACTTCCCATTTCTAGAACTCAAGTCTGGCTAAATCTATAATAACCGGTTTCCCTGAATCCCTTTACTAAACACAGTAATTGCGATCACAAATCCAACAGCTCGTCAAGTCCCAAAAAACCCTTCGGCTCCATTTACTCCTATCTAATACTCGCATGCTTGCTGGGAAATTTTCACAAATAACCCGCACATAAAAGAGAGAAGCTTACGACGTTTCGGTCCGACTTGGACTATTGACAAAGTCACACTCTGGAAGTTCAAGCCCCTTGCCCACAAAACCTCCGTTTACCCCTCCCTCCAACCTTTTCGAGGACGACCCTTAACCCTCCTTCCTTTCCCTACAGATTTATACGCTCTCCAAGTCATTCTACTTTGATCCGTTCCCTCTAAATGACCAACCCACCTCAGCCCTTTGGCTAATACTTTTAGTAACTCCACACCTAATTTCCACACTCCAATTCTCTGCATAATATTTACACCACACATTGCCTTTAGACAGGACATCTCCACTGCCTCCACCCGCCCCTTGCTGCACATTTAACAACCAAGCTTCCACCCATATAAGACTTTTGGTACCACATGCTTTAATTTTTCCCTTCTTTGCCCCATAGAAAACTTTTTTTTGTTTTCACAATACCCAATGCCCCCATCCCTTTTTTTCTTCCTAAATTCTAATGGTTGACCTCATCCTTATAACCCTTTGCTGGCAAGTCAACTCCCAAATATCTAAAAACATTCACTTCTTCCCATACTCCCCCCTTCGTGTGATACCAAATTTTTTTTAATCAAAATCATTTGATCCTCCATCACCTTCTTTTACACTTCAATTAAACTTTTTTCCTGTACACACTTTTACCCCCTTTAAAATTTACCTTTTAACATTAATTTGATTTAGTGGACATTGGACAATCCTCGTTTAGCCTTTAATTTTAGATTTTACTGTTTTGGGGGTCCAAAAAGTAAAAAATCCTTTAAATTGCTTACATTATGGTTTCCCATGGAAACCCAAGGGTAGTTATTTTAATAAAAGAGAGTCACTGTTTTTTTAAAAAATTTTCAAAAGTTGCCCTAATTTCTTTCTATTCATTCTCAGGGATGATGGCGTATCACTTGTCGATTAATAGATGATGCTGGAGTTTCTCTGCAGAAGGAGGTTGGGAATCTCTTAAAAGAACGAAAAAGAAAAATAAAAATTTCTTCACCTAGGTGTGTATTTTCAGAAAATTTTTTTATTTCCAGTAATATTTTTGTGTAATATTCCCCTTTGCAGATCCCATCTCGTGGATGACATAAAATAAAAAATCCTACAAAAAAAATAAGATGTGTTTGAGAAAAATTAACTGCAAAAGCTTTTAAAAGAGAATTTTTTAAAAAAAATACCCTCTTTTCGAATTGTTAAAGTATGGAATTCATGGTAGTTAGCTAGCTGTTGTTTTAAACAATTTTTTTTTTTAGTAATGGTAAAAACATGGGTTGGGTATATGGTTAGTTTCCTTTTTTGATACAGTAAAAGAAACCAAAGTTGATTTGAGAAAAGTCATTTATTTCTTTTTGTCACTAGAAACATCAAGCAAAAGGTAAATGGGAAAAGAATCCCTGTTTTATTACGCAGGCTATAATTGGGTAATTCAGTCCCAGTTTTTTTTTTTTTAAACCCCGGCTTTTTTTCCCCAAGGCAGGGTGACCCTAAAAAGAAACTTTATCACATTCAACACTTTCCCCATCACTATACATAACCCCTTCTTTGCAGAGGCCTCAGGTAGACCGTTTAATTCCCCCAAAACTGCCAATATCCTAAACCTCCTTTTTAAAGTGCAGGCTTGTCTTCTTTTTCCCAGGACTAAAGCTAGCTAACCAGTTTTTTGACCCCTTCACAAAAAAATTCCCCTGCTCCCCACCCCAACAGTTTTGTCAGGTCCCAAAAGCCTTTCCCCTCCTTCACCCCTACGTAAGGGCTCATCCGCTTGCTAGAAGTCCAACCCCCTCCCCCATGAAACCTCCTTTCCCCCCCTCCCCCAACCTTGTTGGGGAAAACCCCCTACCCTTTCCCCCTTTCCCCAATAGATTTTACCCCTCCCCAAGTATTCTACTTCATTCCTTCTCTCTAATGACTAAACCCCTCAAAGCTCCTTCACCCCTCTGACAATATTTTTAGTAACCCCACCCTCCCCAATTTTCCACACTACGAATTTTTGCATATTTACCCCATGCTTGCCTGCCTTTAGACACGACATCTCCACTGCCCCCAGCCACCTCCTCGCCGCAGCATTTACATCAAAAGTTTTCACACCCTATAAGTGTTTTGGTAACTATACCTTGTCATTTCCCCCTTTTGCCCCAGGATAATGTTCTTGTCCCCATAGATACCTCTGCACCCTAACCTTTTTTCCTTAAATTTTCTGGGGTTTACCTCTCCTAAACCCCCATCCACTGAAAGTCAGCTCCCAAAATACTAAAAACATTCACTTTTTCCCCATACCCCTCTCTCCAGGAATTAAAATTTTTTGTTTATCAAAAATTGTTTGTCCCCTTATCCCCTTTAAATTTTATTATAATACTACCAACTTTCTCCTTTCACATTCCCCCAAACCGCCCACTAACCTTTGCAATTTTTTTTTAAATTTTCCCCCAAAAGCACATTACCCTAAGCAAAAAGTAACTGTGCAACTCCCATTTTTATTGTTCCCCAAAATTTTAAATCCTACCCCTCTCCCAGTCCCCTAGCATTTACTTCTTTTACAACCCCATCAAAAATATATTAAACAACCAGGTGACATTACACACCCCTGTCAAAAACCCTATTTTTTAACTGGAAGTAATCCCCCTCTCTCCTACACCCCTAACCTGAGCCTCACATCCTCATAAAAACTCTTTACAGCATTTAGAAAAAAAATTACCATTGAACTGATGAGGGTAAAGGTGTGGATGTAGACATCTTTGGGACAAAATGTTTTCCAGGAGGTAAAAAAGGGGAAAAGTTGAGAATTAGTTACCAACACCCTATAGGGTATGAAGCATGAGTTGGAATTTAGTGAGGAGGAGACTGGAAGCTGAAGATGTTGTGTTTTAGGGCAAAGTGTGGTCTAAATTATGCAGATAATTTAAGCCCCGGATTTTAAAAGGAGGGGCAAGTGACTAAAAAAGGGCTGAAGAAAGGGTTGTTGTGGTGGTTTTGGACATTAGACAGGTGGGGCAAAAAAAGATGCATGGAGGGTTTATAAACCTATAGTGGAGAAGGTAAGGTAGGGTTGCCCTGGAAAAGGGTTGGGGGAGTGGGGAAAGGATGTTTTTGGTGTAAGTGGCTTGGGCATCCGCAAGCATATACGAACTGTTACATACGAGTGAGGGAACAAGTGTTTTTGGGAAATTGACGGCTTTTGTGTGAATAAGGTAAATTTAGAAGGGATTAGGGAAAATGGTTACCAATTAGTCATGGAGGTGGAGTACATGATTTCACCTGAAAGTAGAGTATGCTGCAGTTTTTGAGCTGTAGCATCAGCATGCCCGGGAAGACAGTGATGGGGAGTGTGATGAAAGTGTTTTTTCTTTTTTTTGGCACCCCGCTTGGGGGGGAAACTGGATGTGTTTAAAAAAAAAAAAAAATAAAAGTTTCCCAAAATTTTTTTTACTCATTTTTTAATGTGCCCCACGAAGTGATTTTTCAGTCGTTCAGGTGGGTTTGCACATACGGACCCCCTTTTTGGTATTCCAGTTTTTCGTTGTCTTTTAAATTGGCCGTGTTTATTATGTTTCCCCTGCCCTGGGATTGTCGGGGGGTGGACATAATGAACAGCGCTTCAATTGAAAGCCAATGAAAACTGGAACACTGAAATAGACATTGTATATGTGGGGGCCCCCCGTATTCCTGTAAATTTATGGAAAAATAGCAAAAAAATGGATATGTAAATTCAAAAATTATACAGTGAATTTAAGGGGGGGGAAAAATAAGCTTTAATTTTATCTTATTACCGCTAGTAAAAATACAAAGGGGAGATTAATATGTAGTGCAGTGTGTTTAAAATTTATGGTAAACTTCAAAAGAATTGTCATTGTGTGTGATAAAGAATTTGTGTACAGTATTTTTAATATTTATTAAAAGTTTTTGCTTTTTGATCGACCCGATGACATTGAATCTCGTCAACGACGGAAGAAATACTTACAAATCGACTGGGGCCAAATTTAAGGGGCAGAAGGAAAGACAGAATTAGACAATGTACGTTTCTCCCCTCAATGCAGAGTTACAGTGTGGAAAATTTCTGACCCCCTCGTCCAAGTTTTTATAACAAGGGTGAAGACTGGGGCAAACTGAATATAGAAGCATTTGTTAAGAAAGAGAGAAAAGGGAAGATTTTGAGGGAAACTGAATCACACCTGTAAGATGGAGAAGTAGCAGCATGTGAATTTTTTTAGTGATCATTTTGTTCAAAAAATGTTTATGCTCCACAAGCCTTACAAAATTTTATAAAATAAATTATTTTAAATTTTTTTTTAATTTTTCAAACAAGAAGGAGTACTTTAAAAGGAATTTTTTCCCCCATTTTCCCAATCACCCCTTTCGTTTATCCTTTAATACTAATACTAGTTTAGCTTAAATTGGGTGATTAGAAATTATGTAGTTTTCACCCTTAAAAAAAAATGGAGCATAGTATTTAAAGAGAACCCAAAAAACCCTAGGTTTTAAAAAAGAACTTTTGGGGTTTTCTCAGTTTTATGGGTTTTTCATTTTTTTTTTTTCATTTGAAAAGGGCATTTAAATAAAGTGTTTTATTTTTTAATAAAAAAAATTTCCAAAAAGTGGAAATTTTTAGGGAACAAAAAAACCCGCTTTTCCCCAATTATTGGTTTTAAGCAAATTGCGGTATTTTTCTCTAGATTTTTAATTTTTTTGTTTTGGTTTTGTAAATGGAAGACTATACAAGGTTTGGAAAGAGTTTTAGGGGTTTAAAAGAAAATTTAAAAGAATTAGGAAAAAGTAGGTGGGGAAAAAAAATTTTTTTAAAATTTTAAACCTCTCCCTTATAATTCAACTTTTAAGTTTTCTTTTACATACCCTACCAAACTCATCCACCAACCTCTGTTCATTAGTTACATTCCTAGGCTTTACACATGAATTCCATTTTTTTTTTATTCACACAAAAAAATAGAAGATTTATTGTTATGCAATATTGTATGAATAATATCAGCACATTCATGAACATATATTAGACCGACCAGCTGAACGTGTACTGGACGAATGACAGGATTTGTCAACTCTGAATATCAGCAAAAATCAAACATTTCCACTACTTTGAGCTCAATTTCAACTTATTTTCAGTCCTGAAACCAATCAAAATCATCTCCATTACTGTAATATGTCTTCCATTCTATCAAATGAGACAAAGAAACTGAGAATACAACCATAAAAACTAGACGAAAATACACCGCAAAGTTGCTGTTTTAAACCAAAAATATGGGAGCAGTTTTTGTTCTCATTATGCACTGCATGCTCCAGGTATTTTTTTATATGGTGCACACTTACTACACTGACCCATTCTCTCATATCTAGGCCCAAGTTTACAGCTCAAAGTTTATCTGAGTGAGTTGAGCTCATCACGTAGTACTATGGCATGGCCAGTGAACTCAAAGGCGTAGTACTATGGCACAATCAGTGAAAGGGTTAAAATACTAACCATATATTCAAGTACTAACAACAATTACAATAATGCAAACAATGAATAATAAAATAAAGAAAAATCTGTAAAAGTAATTACTATTGCTGGTATGAAAACTATTAGTAAGGCTTAGTGGAGCATCAAACATATATTGAACACAATGATCACTAAGAAAATTCACATGCTGCTACATTCTCCACTCTTACAGGTCGATGATTCAGCTTCCTCTCTAAATCTTCCGCCTTTTCTCTCATTGTCTTAACACAATGCTTCCTATATTCAGTTATGCCCCAGTCTTCATCTCTGTTATAGAACGTTGGACAGAGGAAGGATCAGCAATTCCACACTGTAACATCTGCATTGAGCGGATGAAACGTACATTGTCTAATTCTCGTCTTTCCTTCTGCTTCCTTAATTGGTCCAGTCGATTTGTAAGTATTTCTTCACGTCGTTGACGAGATTCAATGTCA